CTGAAGCCTCCTCGGGGCTCATTGGGGGCCTCTCGGAGGCGTCTTGAGGGCTCTTCGGGCGTCTTGGGGGCTTTGCGTGTCGTCATGAGCCTCCTGGGGGCCTCTGGGGAGCGATCGCGAAGTCCAGCAGCCCATCTGAGGCGATTAAGGCGAGGAGGCTGAAGCCACTGGTTTCCCTTTGTTTGTGAATGGTGTTTGGCTTGTCGGAGGCGTTCTGGGGGTCTCCCAGGGCCCTTTGGGGCTGTCTTGAGCGTCTCTGGAGGCGCCTTCAGGCTCGCGCGTGCCCTCTCACGACCCTCCGGGCACTTCTGGGTTGGCGTTGCCCTTCTTGGGCCTCTGTTGGAGCCGTCCTCGGGCCCTCTGAAGCCGTTGGGCTCGCGCTCCCCTCCTTGGGCCTCTCTTGGAGACGTGTCGGGGCCCTCTCGAGCCGTCTGGGGCGTCTCAGGGACTGTTTCGGGGCCCTCGTGGGCCGTCTTGGGGCTCCCTTGGAAGCTTCTTCAATTGTCTTCGAATGGTCGTCGGGGCCACGTGGGCCATCTTGGAGCGACGAGCAACTGAACAGGCGAAAACTCGAATACCCCTCAAAACCTTTGAAATAACGCTACCGGGAAGCACCACATACTTATAGTATGGCTGGAGTGATGATGGCTGAAATGAAGCATGTGAGAATGACGTTGGTGGCCGTTGCCCCGCCGATACCGTTGGTGACGCCACTCAAGACGAGAGGTGGAAGAGGAAAAGCGCCGCGCCAGCCACACTTTGCGAGCCCGAAACAGAGAGCGACCGCAACCCCCAAGGCCCCCCCTGCGCACCCCCGCCGGCGTCGAGAAAGTGCCACTCATGCTAGGCCCTGCGACTTGGGCGCGTATAAAAAGACCACCCCCTGCGCACCCCCTCTGGTGTCGGGAAAGCGCCGCGCCTGCTAAGCCCTGCGACATGGGCGCGTATAGAGAGACCACCCCCTGCACACCCCCTCTGGCGTCGAGAAAGTGCAACGCCTGCTACGCCCTGCGACATTCGCGCGCATAAAAAACACCTCCCCTGCGACCCCCCCCTGGTGTCGAGAAAGTGCCACGCCTGCTAGACCCTGCGACATTGGCGCGTATAGAGAGACCCCCCCCCTTCACCCCCCCCTTCTGGCGTCGAGAAATTGCCACGCCTGCCAGGCCCTGCGACATGGGCGCATGTAGAATAAACGCCCCGCTCGGGGACCATTCCCTGCGCAGCCCCTACGGGGCCGAGAAATTGCCACACCTGCCAGGCCCTGCGACATGGCCCGCATAGACGCCGCGCTCGGAAACCACCCCCTGCGCACCCCCTACGAGGTCGAGAAAGTGCCACACCTGCCAAGCCATACGCCATGGCCAGCAAAGATGCCGCGCTCGGAGACCACCCCCAGCGCACCCCCTCCGAGATCGAGACAGCGCCAGACCTGCCACGCCCAGCGCCATGGCCCGCATAGACGCCGCGCCCTGAGACCACCCCCAGCGCACCCCCCCTACGAGGCCGAGAAAGTGCCACACCTGCCACGCCCAGCGCCATGGCCCGCATAGACGCCGCGTTCGGAGACCACCCCCTGCGCAGCCCCTACGGGGTGAGGAAAGTGCCACACCTGCCACGCCTCACGCCATGGCCAGCAAAGACGCCGCGCTCGGAGACCACCCCCAGCGCACCCCCTACGAGATCGAGACAGCGCAACACCTGCCACACCCTGCGCCATGGCCCGCATAGACGCCGCGCTCGGAGACCACCCCCAGCGCACCCCCCCCCTACGAGGTCGAGAAAATGCTACACCTGCCGCGCCCTGCGCCATGGCCCGCATAGACGCCGCGTTCGGAGACCACCCCCAGCGCACCCCCTTCGAGGTCGAGAAAGCGCCACACCTGCCACGCCCTGCGCCATGGCACGCGGGCGCGGCGCGCGAAGGAGGAGACGCGGGCGCGCCGCGGCAGACAAGAAAACCAGAACCCCACCAAGCACGTGGGGAATGACGGCGCTGCCTTTTTTACGGGCGCCCTCGTGAGGCCTCCTGGGCGGGCGTTTCCTCGCATTGAGGATTGGCCGCGACGGTGAAAGCTGTCGGTCCATCGGCCCCCGTCGCTACTCCGCACTCATCAACCGAGATCGCCAGGTGCCCCGACGGTGCGCATACCAGCTTAGGCACCCTAGCGCCCTTACCAAGGAGGAACCTGCAATTGTCCGCACCTGGGGGGGGGGCATCTGTCCGTTTCCCCCTTCAAGTCAGGATGTCCCTCACGTTCGACACGGGCACGTCGGAGCAATAAAGTGCCAGTGTCGGTGCCAAGATCGGATTCGGACTCCGCGGGTTGCCCCGCCGAGCCTGCGAGGGTAGTGGCTCTGGCAGGGGCAGCCGTTGCCGACGGTCCCTGATATCGAGCCCAGGAGTCTTACGACCCCGTGAGCTGGCCACCTTGTTGGCTTAATGAGAGTAGTGGCCTCGTTTGGTTGTGGATCGTCATCCCAGACGTTGTTGGCAGGTTGCCCAGCGTGGGAATTGCTATGAACGACGTCAGCGTGGTGGCCATGGCTGAATACACCACCAATGTTGCCAGGGGTTCGCTCAGCAATATGGGCGTGAGCCCTAACTGCTGCTGTGTCCTTGGCATTTGGTGGTTCAATGGTTGTAGCAAGTGCTCTGTACGCGATGTACCAACACTCAGGGCTCCAAACAATATAAATGATAGGATCTGCAAGTTGGGGATGTTGAAACCCGAGGTGTCGGCTTCGAAGCGTGTTATCTCAAAGCGGGCCATCGTCTGGTCGATCCGTTCCCCCGCATGGACGCGGAAGTCAATGAGAGCTGGTCCCGAGTTGACTTGGCGTTCCTCTCCCAGGTGTTCGAACTTGATGCTGAGCGGCAGCCTGTTGGGAGGGGGTCATAATGCCTGCGGTCATGTTGATCCAGGCATGTACGTCGCGAGCGAATTCACGGAAACGTACGTTACCGGCAGCGTCCCGGTAGGGACCGGTAGTACGTGCGTCGTCTCCGTCTCGCCGCATGTGTTCAACAGCGCATCCGATAGTGACCCATAGAAGGCCAGATATAATAATGCCAATCCAATGGCCTCGTAGGTCGTAATACATTCCTCCGCGCAAAACCACTGCACCCCGATGTTCCACCAAATCTGTATTCCACCAGATAATGCCGTGTATGGTGAGGAGTAGAGCGATCGCTGTCCTCCACAAGACAGCTCCGCTACCAAGTTTGAAGCTGGTCGGGAGGCCGCCTAAGGCGAAGCCCATATCAAACTCTGCTATCCCGCAGTAGCGAGAGTCCCAAGAGCAGGAGAGGTCTCGCGGGAGCGACGAGCTATGTCAAGCGACGATGTGTTCGGTCTTAATGGCAAATAATGTGTCTCGCGATGAACAGTCATATCTTGGCGGCCGGCAGTTTGAGCACAAACGGCCACGGACAAACGCTCGTTTCCTCTCGCCTTTGCCCAATATCCTGTAGAGTCTCATGTGTTCTCTGCTCTCTGTACCCAAGGACTGGGGGACTCCAGTCTTCTAGGCGCTGTGGCCCCAGATTCACAAATTTCCAAGGCGCTCCCGCGCTGCCTCGCGCGACATTCCCAAAAAACAAAAGGGACCCAAGACGGGCCCAGAGGAATCCAAGAAGCGCCCTAGAGGGTGCAAGGAGCCTCCAAGGCAGCCCAAGAGCGCTCTGAGACGACCAAGATGGCCCCAAGACGGTCCAATAGGCCCCAATGAAGCCACAAGAGCGTTCCAAGCAAGAGCGCCCAATGAGGCACAAACCATCAATTATCCTTGTGTTGTTCTGTGTTGTTCGCGTTCTCGCATTGTCCGGCCTCCGACGCTCTAAGATGAACCAGAAGGCCCTCTGGACCGCATAAGACCGCCCAGAAGGCCCCCACGAGATCCCGAAGACGGTCCAAGAGGGCCCCAAACCTGGCCAAAAAGCGCCAAAGATCGCCGAGGGCATAAGCAGCCCGCGACTGTTCCTGAATGATGTGTCACGCGCAAGACCCGCCAGTGCACAGCAATCCTCGGAGATTCAGGGGGCCACGCGGAATGACCTCGTGATAGGGATTCTACAAAATGGGTTCGGGGGGGTCGCTGGATAGGGGGGGCAATCTTGACCCAGGGCGATCCCACTTAAGCCCGTCCCAAAAGCAACGGCCATCGTTCGCTATGGCCCTCTCGAGCCATGAAGGACGGTCCTCAGCGGCATACGTGCGCGCCTGGGCCGCATCGGGGTGGCTGCACTACCAGACGCGGTGCCTCGCACCGGCGGGCTCGCCACACAACGGACACCCGCCGTCGCTAACGTAGCCTGCAGCCTCAGCTTGGGCGCGTGTCCAAACACCTGCGCGTTAACAAGTGGTCGCCAAATACGTCCTACAGGGGCCCAACTTCCGAGACGAGGGACCCAACAGACGAACAAGGGACTCGGGACAAACCCGCTGCCCTACACAGGCAGGCATGAGCTCCGCACGAGCTAGTCAATGGTATCCCTGGATCCCGAACATAAGGATCTGGGCCACCAGGGAATGCGACTTGAAACCTAAATAGGCAACTCTATCAACATTATCCGTCACCGCCAGCGCCGTCGTGGAGCTCCAACCTATCCGAGTAAGTTTTTCACTCTATAAAGCGAAGTGGGGGGAGGTGAGGTGCAACCAAACCACGTACACGCTCGATCTCCACAAAAGGTCCCCGCAGAAAGCCAACGTCGCATGAAACCAAATGCCACGGTGATAGGGGAAGGTGTACGATTACACCGCACGCTGAACTTCCTTTAGACCACTATTGCCCACCCGAACAATGGAGTACCCGAAAGTGGCCGCAGAGGAGGAGGGGGAGGAGGAGGAGGAGGAGGAGGAGGAGGAGGAGGAGGAGGGCGACGAGGAGGAGGACGAGAAGGAGGAAAAATACAGGGAGGTTGCGGGACGGGCCGAGCGGGAGGTGGCGAAAGGACGGAGAAGGAATGGAGACGGGGAAGCGGGGGGGGATTGCGCCTGGGATCCGTCTGCAGGATGCTCTGGATGAGCTCCTCCGCGCGTGGATGAGATCCTCCCCCGATCCGCCTCCTCCTCATCCCCCCCCTGATCCTCCAGATCCTCCTCCGCCATGTATGCTTGTGAAAGATAGATGGCTCTCTCTCTCTCTCTCTCTCCCTCTCGTTCCTTTTGCCTCGCTCTTTCGGCTCGTTCTCTCGCACTCTCTCTCTCTCTCTCTCGCTCTCTCTCCCCCATCTCTCTCTCTCTCTCTCTGGCTCTCTCTCTCTCTCTCTCTCTTTCCCTGTCTGTATCTATCTCCCTCGCTGTGTCTCTCATGCTCTCGCTCGCTCGCTTGCTCTCTCGTGCTTCTCTCTCTCTCTTTCTGTCGCTTTTGCTCCCTCTCTCTCTCTCTCGCTCCCTCTCTCCACCTCCGTGTCCATGTATACATGCCTGACTCTCTCTCTCTCGGTCTAACTACTTTTCTCTCTATCTCTCTCTCTCTCTCGCTCTCTCTCTCTCTCTCTCACTATCCCGTTACATGATCTACCTATATGCATGTGTGCTCCTCGGCGGTGCGCAGCGCAGCGGCCTGGCCCCCGTGGTCAGTATCATCCTCGTCGCCCTTGTCGACGTCGTCTTTATCCTCCTCCTCGGTACACCCCTCCTCCTGAACGTCATCATCCTCCTCACCTCATCATCCTCATCACCCTCCTCCTCATAGCTACTCATCCTCATCACCATTGTCGTCGTCATGTGCGTCCTCCATGATTGGCGTCAGCAACATCATGGTCGCCGTCGTTGGCATCATCACCATCATCATCATCAGCACTACCACCAGCGTCACCATCATCCTCATGATATGATCATCGCACCTGTCGGCAAAAACACAATTTCAAGCATAGGCACCATCAGCATCAGCATCATCATCATCGTCACTGTCGTCATCATACACATAGTCATCATCATCGTTGACACCAGTGTCGACATCATTGCCAGCACCATCATCGCAATCGAACTTCAGCATCGCCATAATCATAAACATCACCACGGTCAGCGTCCGCCACATCATGATCACAAGCACCGACATCACCAACACCAACACCATCACCAGCACTGTCACCATCAGCATCGTCACCACCAGCAACAACATCATCAGCATAAGCGCCATCATCATCATCATCATCATCATCATCAATATCAGCATCATCGACATCATCAGCATCATCGTCTGAATCATCACCACCGCCACCACCACCATTGTCATCATCATCATCAGCATCATTACCATCAGCTGCATCACAAGTAGCAGCATCCTCTCCCTCGCTAGCAACATCATCATCATAATCATCATCAGCATCATCAGCATCGTCGTCGTCATCACCATCGCCATCGTCATCATCATCAGCATCACCAGCAGCATCAGCATACCATCATCATCGTTAGCAACAGCAGCATCATAATGGCCTGAATCATCAATATCACCATCATCTTCATCCTCGGTGTTGTCGTCATACTCAGCATCAACACATCATGGGAAATTGTACCGTCATCACTATCATCATCAGCATATCCATCACCATATCATAAAACTCGTGAGAAGCATCATCAACAGTATCACAATCATCATCAACATCATCATCATCAGAAACAGCGTCGTCTCCGTCGTCGTCACCGTTATCACCGTCATTGCCATCGTCATCAGCATCAGCATCGTAATCACCATAATCATCACCATCATCACCACCACTATCAACATCATCGTCACCATCTGAATCAGCACCACCGCCACTTCCACCACCATTGACATCATCGTCTTCATCAGCATCATCATCGTCATCATCATCATGATCATCATCATCATCATCAGCATCATCATCATCATCATCATCATTACCATCAGCATCATCACTATCATATCATCATCATGATCAGCATCATCATCGACATCATCAGCATCATCATCGTCACCCACATCCGGATCCGCATCCGCATCAGCATCAGCGTCCGCATTCGCATCCGCATCCACCTCCCCCAATCGGACGCAGGCCGCGACGGCCACGCGGCTGGATCCTTGACGGGCTCTGAGATCGCCACGGTCTCTTTGGGGGGGAAGCTGTACTGGTTGTGGCGAATCCGACGGTACCTGAAACGAACCGCCCCGACTCCGTATCCCCGAACCTCCGACGACATGATCTTCTCAATCCAAGAGTTCTTCCTCAATTGGAAGCCCTGGGGCCCATTATCGGGTCTGGGGACCGTCATAGGCGGATCCAGGACATAAAAACTTGCCCCAGAAGGGGTCGCGGCATCCTGCTGCACAACGGCGGCAGACAGATGACCATAGACATCCCTCCTCGAAATTAAACGCGACGGCGCCCCAGGGCGGTACAAGTTCCATGCTCGCGACGAAATTGGTGACTGCAAACACATAGATCTGACCCTGTGGGCCGCATTTCGCGCGTCGACCAACATCAAAAACTTGCGTCTGATTTTGAGGAAAGTTGTAGGAACGATGTAACTGAGGAACATAGGAAGGACGGCAGGTCTGCGGGCTCTCCAGAGCGCTCCAGGAACGCCCTGGGAGCGTCATGGAAAGCTCCAGAACGATTTCTATTGTCGGCCTGTGTGAATCCCCCCTCACACTGACATCCTGGCGTCTCATGCTGTTCCAGCCGGGCGCTTTCGCCCGTCTCGGGCCCAAGGATGCTCACAGATCGACCCAGCTCAAGATAACGTGGGTTGAAATAAGGTGTCTGGGGCTCTGGTCGTCATTTTCACGATGTTGTTTTTTTGGTTGCCGCGCCAGGTCTCAGGGATCCTCCCGGGTGAAATTGGGGACGTTGGGGAGGGGGGTGGAGGACGGCGAAGGGGAGAGAATGCCCCAGACATCTGACGATCTGATCTTTCCAATGCGCGACCCCAAAGGTCCAGATCCCTTCCCCAGGGCTAGCTCTTCGCCCCTGAATCCTTTCTGATGGTCCTGGGGCGCGATGACGGACCCAGGGGGTAAGATCGAAGAAAAGCGCAGCCTCGGAGGTCCAGATCCCTTCCACAGGGCCAGTTTTTCGCCCTGGACCCATGCCTGATGGCCCCTGAGGCCGAAATCAGGGGAAAAAAACACCCAAACTCAAAAAAAACGCGTCGTTGGAGACCCAGGAATGCAGTCGTCGGCGCCGCTTCGGCGGGCAGCGCCCACAGCGGACGCCAGGGCGAGCACGGAAGCGAGGAGCGAGCACGTGGTCTTCACGTCCGAGGTCTCGAACGGCGGCCTCGGGGGGGGGGGCTCGCCGCCCCTCCTCGAGACGGAGCCAGGACAGGGACTACACCGGATAGGGAGACATCGGGGATCGGAGGAGGAGGAGGAGGAGGAGGAGGAGGAGGAGGACGGCGAGGAGGAGGAGGAGGAGGAGGAGGGGAAGGAGGAGAGAGAGGAGGAGGAAGAGGAGGAGAGGAGGAGAAGGAGGAGGAGGTGGAGGAGGTGGAGGGGAGTAGGAAGAAGCGAAGAAGGAAGATGAGGAGAAGGAAGATGAGGAGGAGGAAGAAAGAGGAGAAGGAGGACGAGGAGGAGGAAAGGAGGAGGAAGAGGAGGGGGGCGCTGAAGTAGGGACCCCCTCCTCCTCCTCCTCCTCCTCCTCCTCCTCCTCTTCCTCCTCCTCTTCCTCCTCCTCCGCCTCCTCTCCTCATTATTCTCCTCCTCATCTTGTTCCTCATCCTCCTCTTCCGCCTCCTCCTCCTCCTCCACCTCCTCCTCCTCTCCTGTTCTTCCTCCTCCTCCTCCGCCTCCTCCTCCTCCTGTAAGCGTGAGCCTTCGGGACACCATGCAGATTCCTTGGGTCTACGCTAGACTCCCTTCCATCAACCCTTCCCTTGGCACGCCCAAGGTGGGCACGGAAAACATGCGTACGATGCCCAACAGTACATGCTGCCCAAAACCGACAGCGGCCAACGGCCGCTGTTCGGCAGGCGACTTTCGCTTCAAATGGTCAATGTCTGCAGCGACGCCGACAGCGAATCCTGCTCAAGACGGAGAAGACCTGCTGTTGACCTTCGCATCCGCTATCTCAGTCCCAGTTCAGCCCGCTCGATTCCCGCGGAAGGGGTTGGCGAGGAGGGGGGCCGACCGCCGACGCAACAGGTCCGCTCCAACCCTCAAAAAAGTATGCTCATGTCGCTGTCTGCTCATCCTGCTCCTGGACGATTTCCCCCGGGGCCGTAGGCGACCCGAGGAGGGGAGTGCGAGGAGGGGGAGGAAGAGAAGGAGGAGGAGGAGGACCCGTGCAAACCCAAGAGTCATCAACGATGTTGGAATCAACCCTCCCTCCAAGCTCCCTCTTCATAGGCCCCTACACGGGCTCATGTCCATCGAGGGAACTGCCCCGTTGGAGGACAACCGTTTGAAGATCCTGAACCATGCCAAAGCATTGGTCTCGGGATGCTTTAACGCCACGGATCAACCTGACTGCTGCGTCTTGACGATCCAGAATCGTACCATAACGCCATTCTTGGGCCGAGCAGGCGAGAAACCAGCAATCTTACAAACACCGGTGGAAAATCAAAGATGTGGCCCTCGCGGGCCCCCCTTGGGGGCCCTCTGGGAGCGCTTTCAGGCGTCTTGGGGGCCCCTGGGGCTACTTGAAGCCACCTTGGGCCGTCCTGGAATGCTCTTGGCCAGTGTCCGATGCCTCTGGGATCGTGTTGGGGGGTACTGGAGTAGTTTTCTCTGGCACAGGAACAGAAACGCAGCGTTGCCCTTCGAAGCGTGCTACAGCGAAGCTGCTGCCGACTTGAACCCTCAAAGGGATACGTGCCCTTTACACTCTGCCATAGGAGTGGCTACGTCGGCGTGGTCGTCTTCTCCCAGGAGGCCTCCGACTGCAAACCCTGTTCGCCCTAAATGCTTGACGTAGAAATTCAAGTACGGGAGCCCACTTTGCGTGCTTCCATGAACGACTTTCAGCTCAAGCTTACCAAAAGCAACCCACTCTGGAGTCCCGACGGCACGTTGCGACGCGACGTAATGATAACCTCCAGCCTGTTTGTCCTCTGCCCAGGCCCCTGTAACATTCAATTCTTGAAAGTACATATCTGCACACTGTCCACCCAATTGGCGCGCATCGGCCTCAACGCGAAGCAATGCGCGTGTCTGTCTTCCGCGAGGGATGTTCAGCAGAATATGCTTGCCCGGCTTCATCAAGTCGAACCGCTGACCAAGAACATTTTGCAGGTGGGGATCGCCAGTGGCAGACGCACCGCCGGCTCCACCCGCCATGGGAGCTCCAGAAGGGAACGTCGGGTGCGGCGTCGGCCAGCCAGGAGGATACGTCGGGCTGGGTGTCGGGCTGGGCGTGGGGAATGCCGTCGGGAAGGCCGTCGGGAAGGGCGTCGGGAAGGCCGTCGGGAAGGGCGTCGGGAAGGGCGTCGGGAAGGGCGTCGGGAAGGGTCGTCGGGAAAGGCGACGGGAAGGGCGTCGGGAAGGGCGTCGGGTAGAGCGTCGGGAAAGGCGTCGGGTAGGGCGTGGGGTAGGGCGTGGGGTAGGGCGTCGGGAAAGGCGGCGTCGGGAAGGGCGTCGGGTTGGGCGTGGGGTATGGCGTCGGATAGGGCGTCGGGTAGGCCGTCGGGTTGGGCGTCGGGTAGGGCGTTGCGCGATACGGGGTCGGAGACATCGTCGACGCCGAAGAAAGTGCACCCGCCGCACGTCGGGCTGCTTTTGCCGAAGGAGATCTGGAAGAAGGCGTCATTGTGGTACAGACCGTCGACAGAATCAACCTCGACTCTGATTGTGTGCGGCCCCGCTGAAAGCGAGAACGTCTGCGAAGGCATGTTGACATCGCACATGATGCAAGTGCTGACATAGCATGCGCTGCCTCCGTGGCCGTTTGTAGCTTGCACCGTGACGCGCAGGACGTCGTCCACGTACAGCTGGAATCTCTCGTACTGGGCCTCCGCCACGCCCGTCATCGAAAGGGTCAGGTCGATGGGCGAAGCGTCGTTCAAAGTGAGAACTGCGTCCCCGTGTTGCCTGGCATTCGCCACGCCACCGCAGATCGTATCGTCCTGGAAGTCGAAGCGGATGAACGCTGGGGTGCTTGACCAAGTGCCATGCGCGCCATGCGAAGCGAACGACCACGAAGACGCGGTGTCTCCCAGTGGCGTGCAGCAGCCTTGACCCACCTGCCACGCGCTGCACTCCGCCCGCTTCGACTGCGCGGACGTCGTGTTGGCGGCCAGATGCTCGCGCCAGCTGCTCGTCGCCAGCTGCATGCAGGACGCGCCTGGCAGCCCGAGAAGCACGAGAGACCAGACCATCCCAGACGCCGCCATCCGAGCAAACTGGACGAGAGGAAGTAACGTGAGTTCGAGAGGACCAGACGGTTGCGCGCGTGCACAAGTCAACACAAAAGTTCGATGTTTGAGCCAAGCTGGCTACGGAGTAGCCGCGTTGCCCGCCGTGGGCGCCCCTGGCCTCTGGGCAGCAGCTCTGGAGGGGAAGGATCGCGGGCCGCTGGGGGGAGCTCTGAAGCAGTCTGGGACAGACGTTGGACCCTCTTGGACCGCCTTGGAAGGTTCGTGGGCCGAGCAGGCGGGAAACCAAACATCTTACAAACAACGATGGAACATCAAAGGTTTGCCCCTCGCGGGCCCCCCTGGGGGGGCCCTCTGGGAGCGCCTTGAAGCGCCTTGGGGGCCCCTGGGGCTACTTGGAGCCACCTTGGGCGTCCTGGAATGCTCTTGGCCCGTGTCCGTGCCTCTCGGGGATCCGTGTTGGGGGGTCACTGGAGTGTTTTTCTCTGGCACGAGAAACGAAACCGCAGCGTTGCCCTTCGAAGCTTCGCCCTACCAGCGAAAAGGCTGCTGCCGATTGAACACTCAAAGGGATACGTGCCCTTTACACTCTGCCATAGGAGTGGCTACGTCGGCGTGGTCGTCTTCTCCCAGGAGGCCTCCGACTGCAAACCCTGTTCGCCCTAAATGCTTGACGTAGAAATTCAAGTACGGGAGCCCACTTTGCGTGCTTCCATGAACGACTTTCAGCTCAAGCTTACCAAAAGCAACCCACTCTGGAGTCCCGACGGCACGTTGCGACGCGACGTGATGATAACCTCCAGCCTGTTTGTCCTCTGCCCAGGCCCCTGTAACATTCAATTCTTGGAAGTACATATCTGCACACTGTCCACCCAATTGGCGCGCATCGGCCTCAACGCGAAGCAATGCGCGTGTCTGTCTTCCGCGAGGGATGTTCAGCAGAATGTGCTTGCCCGGCTTCATCAAATCGAACCGCTGACCAAGAACATTTTGCAGGTGGGGATCGCCAGTGGCAGACGCACCGCCGGCTCCACCCGCCATGGGAGCTCCAGAAGGGAACGTCGGGTGCGGCGTCGGCCAGCCAGGAGGATACGTCGGGCTGGGTGTCGGGCTGGGCGTGGGGAATGCCGTCGGGAAGGCCGTCGGGAAGGGCGTCGGGAAGGGCGTCGGGAAGGGCGTCGGGAAGGGCGTCGGGAAGGCCGTCGGGAAAGGCGTCGGGAAAGGCGACGGGAAGGGCGTCGGGAAGGGCGTCGGGTAGAGCGTCGGGAAAGGCGTCGGGTAGGGCGTCGGGTAGGGCGTGGGGTAGGGCGTGGGGTAGGGCGTCGGGAAAGGCGTCGGGAAGGGCGTCGGGTTGGGCGTGGGGTATGGCGTCGGATAGGGCGTCGGGTAGGCCGTCGGGTTGGGCGTCGGGTAGGGCGTCGGATACGGGGTCGGAGACATCGTCGACGCCGAGCAAGTGCACCCGCCGCACGTCGGGCTGCTTTTGCCGAAGGAGATCTGGAAGAAGGCGTCATTGTGGTACAGACCGTCGACAGAATCAACCTCGACTCTGATTGTGTGCGCGGCCCCGTGAAAGCCGAGACCCACCCCCCCCGAGAAACGTCTGCGAGGGCATGTTGACATAGCACATGGATGCCAGCGTTGATGATCCCGGCATTCGCTGCCTCCGCTCGGACCGTTTGTAGCCTTTTTGCACCGTGGTGCGCAGGACGTTGTCAACGTACAACTGAAATTTCTCGAACTGGGCCTCCGCCACGCCGGTCATCGAAAGGGTCAGGTCGATGGGCGAAGCGTCGTTCAAGGTGAGAATTGCGCTCCCGTGTTGCCTGGCATTCGCCACGCCACCGCAGATGGTATCGTCGTGGAAGTCGAAGCGGATGAACGCTGGGGTGCTGGACCAAGAGCCATGCGCGCCATACGAAACGAACGACCACGAAGACGCGGTATCTCCCAATGGCGTGCAGCAGCCTTGGCCCACCTGCCCCGCGCTGCACTCCGCCCGCTTCGACTGCGCGGACGTCGCGTTGGCGGCCACATGCTCGCGCCAGCTGCTCGTCGCGAGCTGCATGCAGGACGCGCCTGGTAGCCCGAGGAGCACGAGAGGCCAGACCATCCCGGACGCCGCCATCCAAGCAAATTGGACGAGAGGAAGTTACGTAAGTCCGGTATGACCAAACGGTTGCGTGCGTGTGCAAGATCCAAAGCACTGTTCGATGCTTGAGCCAAAATGGCCACGGAGGTGCCGTCTTGCCCGCCGTGGGCGCCCCTGGCCTCTGGAAAACAGCTCTGGAGGGGAAGACTCGCGGGCCGCTGGGGGAGCTCTGAAGCAGTCTGGGAGAGACGTTGGACCCTCTTGGGCCGTCTTGGCAGGTTAGTGGGCCGAGCAGGCGAGAAACCAGCAATCTTACAAACACCGGTGGAAAATCAAAGATGTGGCCCTCGCGGGCCCCCCTTGGTGGCCCTCTGGGAGCGCTTTCAGGCGTCTTGGGGGCCCCTGGGGCTACTTGAAGCCACCTTGGGCCGTCCTGGAATGCTCTTGGCCAGTGTCCGATGCCTCTGGGATCGTGTTGGGGGGTACTGGAGTAGTTTTCTCTGGCACAGGAACAGAAACGCAGCGTTGCCCTTCGAAGCTTGCTACAGCGAAGCTGCTGCCGACTTGAACCCTCAAAGGGATACGTGCCCTTTACACTCTGCCATAGGAGTGGCTACGTCGGCGTGGTCGTCTTCTCCCAGGAGGCCTCCGACTGCAAACCCTGTTCGCCCTAAATGCTTGACGTAGAAATTCAAGTACGGGAGCCCACTTTGCGTGCTTCCATGAACGACTTTCAGCTCAAGCTTACCAAAAGCAACCCACTCTGGAGTCCCGACGGCACGTTGCGACGCGACGTAATGATAACCTCCTGCCTGTTTGTCCTCTGCCCAGGCCCCTGTAACATTCAATTCTTGAAAGTACATATCTGCACACTGTCCACCCAATTGGCGCGCATCGGCCTCAACGCGAAGCAATGCGCGTGTCTGTCTTCCGCGAGGGATGTTCAGCAGAATATGCTTGCCCGGCTTCATCAAGTCGAACCGCTGACCAAGAACAATTTGCAGGTGGGGATCGCCAGTGGCAGACGCACCGCCGGCTCCACCCGCCATGGGAGCTCCAGAAGGGAACGTCGGGTGCGGCGTCGGCCAGCCAGGAGGATACGTCGGGCTGGGTGTCGGGCTGGGCGTGGGGAATGCCGTCGGGTAGGCCGTCGGGAAGGGCGTCGGGAAGGCCGTCGGGAAGGGCGTCGGGAAGGGCGTCGGGAAGGGCGTCGGGAAGGGTGTCGGGAAAGGCGACGGGAAGGGCGTCGGGAAGGGCGTCGGGTAGAGCGTCGGGAAAGGCGTCGGGTAGGGCGTGGGGTAGGGCGTGGGGTAGGGCGTCGGGAAAGGCGTCGGGAAAGGCGTCGGGAAGGGCGTCGGGTTGGGCGTGGGGTATGGCGTCGGATAGGGCGTCGGGTAGGCCGTCGGGTTGGGCGTCGGGTAGGGCGTCGGATACGGGGTCGGAGACATCGTCGACGCCGAGCAAGTGCACCCGCCGCACGTCGGGCTGCTTTTGCCGAAGGAGATCTGGAAGAAGGCGTCATTGTGGTACAGACCGTCGACAGAATCAACCTCGACTCTGATTGTGTGCGGCCCCGCTGAAAGCGAGAACGTCTGCGAGGGCATGTTGACATCGCACATGATGCAGGTGCTGACCTGGCATGCGCTGCCTCCGTGGCCGTTTGTAGCTTGCACCGTGGTGCGCAGGACGTTGTCAACGTACAACTGAAATTTCTCGAACTGGGCCTCCGCCACGCCGGTCATCGAAAGGGTCAGGTCGATGGGCGAAGCGTCGTTCAAGGTGAGAACTGCGCTCCCGTGTTGCCTGGCATTCGCCACGCCACCGCAGATGGTATCGTCGTGGAAGTCGAAGCGGATGAACGCTGGGGTGCTGGACCAAGAGCCATGCGCGCCATACGAAACGAACGACCACGAAGACGCGGTATCTCCCAGTGGCGTGCAGCAGCCTTGGCCCACCTGCCCCGCGCTGCACTCCGCCCGCTTCGACTGCGCGGACGTCGCGTTGGCGGCCACATGCTCGCGCCAGCTGCTCGTCGCGAGCTGCATGCAGGACGCGCCTGGTAGCCCGAGGAGCACGAGAGGCCAGACCATCCCGGACGCCGCCATCCAAGCAAATTGGACGAGAGGAAGTTACGTAAGTCCGGTATGACCAAACGGTTGCGTGCGTGTGCAAGATCCAAAGCACTGTTCGATGCTTGAGCCAAAATGGCCACGGAGGTGCCGTCTTGCCCGCCGTGGGCGCCCCTGGCCTCTGGAAAACAGCTCTGGAGGGGAAGACTCGCGGGCCGCTGGGGGAGCTCTGAAGCAGTCTGGGAGAGACGTTGGACCCTCTTGGGCCGTCTTGGAAGGTTAGTGGGCCGAGCAGGCGAGAAACCAGCAATCTTACAAACACCGGTGGAAAATCAAAGATGTGGCCCTCGCGGGCCCCCCTTGGGGGCCCTCTGGGAGCGCTTTCAGGCGTCTTGGGGGCCCCTGGGGCTACTTGAAGCCACCTTGGGCGATCCTGGAATGCTCTTGGCCAGTGTCCGATGCCTCTGGGATCGTGTTGGGGGGTACTGGAGTAGTTTTCTCTGGCACAGGAACAGAAACGCAGCGTTGCCCTTCGAAGCTTGCTACAGCGAAGCTGCTGCCGACTTGAACCCTCAAAGGGATACGTGCCCTTTACACTCTGCCATAGGAGTGGCTACGTCGGCGTGGTCGTCTTCTCCCAGGAGGCCTCCGACTGCAAACCCTGTTCGCCCTAAATGCTTGACGTAGAAATTCAAGTACGGGAGCCCACTTTGCGTGCTTCCATGAACGACTTTCAGCTCAAGCTTACCAAAAGCAACCCACTCTGGAGTCCCGACGGCACGTTGCGACGCGACGTAATGATAACCTCCAGCCTGTTTGTCCTCTGCCCAGGCCCCTGTAACATTCAATTCTTGAAAGTACATATCTGCACACTGTCCACCCAATTGGCGCGCATCGGCCTCAACGCGAAGCAATGCGCGTGTCTGTCTTCCGCGAGGGATGTTCAGCAGAATATGCTTGCCCGGCTTCATCAAGTCGAACCGCTGACCAAGAACATTTTGCAGGTGGGGATCGCCAGTGGCAGACGCACCGCCGGCTCCACCCGCCATGGGAGCTCCAGAAGGGAACGTCGGGTGCGGCGTCGGCCAGCCAGGAGGATACGTCGGACTGGGTGTCGGGCTGGGCGTGGGGAATGCCGTCGGGAAGGCCGTCGGGAAGGGCGTCGGGAAGGCCGTCGGGAAGGGCGTCGGGAAGGGCGTCGGGAAGGGCGTCGGGAAGGGTGTCGGGAAAGGCGACGGGAAGGGCGTCGGGAAGGGCGTCGGGTAGAGCGTCGGGAATGGCGTCGGGTAGGGCGTGGGGTAGGGCGTGGGGTAGGGCGTCGGGAAAGGCGTCGGGAAAGGCGTCGGGAAGGGCGTCGGGTTGGGCGTGGGGTATGGCGTCGGATAGGGCGTCGGGTAGGCCGTCGGTTTGGGCGTCGGGTAGGGCGTCGGATACGGGGTCGGAGACATCGTCGACGCCGAGCAAGTGCACCCGCCGCACGTCGGGCTGCTTTTGCCGAAGGAGATCTGGAAGAAGGCGTCAATGTGAGTACAGACCGTCGAGAGAATCAACCACGACTCTGATTGTGTGCGGCCCGGCTGAAAGCGAGACCGTCTGCGAAGGCATGTTGACATCGCACATGATGCAAGTGCTGACATAGCATGCGCTGCCTCCGTGGCCGTTTGTAGCTTGCACCGTGACGCGCAAGACGTCGTCCACGTACAGCTGGAATCTCTCGTACTGGGCCTCCGCCACGCCCGTCATCGAAAGGGTCAGGTCGATGGGCGAAGCGTCGTCAAGGTGAGAACTTCAGCTCACCGTGTTGCCTGGCATTACGCCACTCACCGCAGATGGTATCGTCGTGGAAGTCGAAGCGGATGAACGCTGGGGTGCTGGACCAAGAGCCATGCGCGCCATACGAAACGAACGACCACGAAGACGCGGTATCTCCCAGTGGCGTGCAGCAGCCTTGGCCCACCTGCCCCGCGCTGCACTCCGCCCGCTTCGACTGCGCGGACGTCGCGTTGGCGGCCACATGCTCGCGCCAGCTGCTCGTCGCGAGCTGCATGCAGGACGCGCCTGGTAGCCCGAGGAGCACGAGAGGCCAGACCATCCCGGACGCCGCCATCCAAGCAAATTGGACGAGAGGAAGTTACGTAAGTCCGGTATGACCAAACGGTTGCGTGCGTGTGCAAGATCCAAAGCACTGTTCGATGCTTGAGCCAAAATGGCCACGGAGGTGCCGTCTTGCCCGCCGTGGGCGCCCCTGGCCTCTGGAAAACAGCTCTGGAGGGGAAGACTCGCGGGCCGCTGGGGGAGCTCTGAAGCAGTCTGGGAGAGACGTTGGACCCTCTTGGGCCGTCTTGGCAGGTTAGTGGGCCGAGCAGGCGAGAAACCAGCAATCTTACAAACACCGGTGGAAAATCAAAGATGTGGCCCTCGCGGGCCCCCCTTGGTGGCCCCCGCCTGACCTTTCCATGCGTCTGGGGGTGCTTGGGTTCTACTTGAGCACCTTGGCCGTCCGGGAATGCTCATGCCAGTGTCCGATGCCTCTGGGATACGTGTTGGGGGGTACTTGAGTAGTTTTTCCTCTGTCACGGAACAGAAAGCAGCGTTGCCCTCGAAGCATGCTACATCGAAGCTGCTGCCACTTGAACCCTCAAAGGGATACGTGCCCTTTACACTCTGCCATAGGAGTGGCTACGTCGGCGTGGTCGTCTTCTCCCAGGAGGCCTCCGACTGCAAACCCTGTTCGCCCTAACTGCTTGACGTAGAAATTCAAGTACGGGAGCCCACTTTGCGTGCTTCCATGAACGACTTTCAGCTCAAGCTTACCAAAAGCAACCCACTCTGGAGTCCCGACGGCACGTTGCGACGCGACGTAATGATAACCTCCAGCCTGTTTGTCCTCTGCCCAGGCCCCTGTAACATTCAATTCTTGAAAGTACATATCTGCACACTGTCCACCCAATTGGCGCGCATCGGCCTCAACGCGAAGCAATGCGCGTGTCTGTCTTCCGCGAGGGATGTTCAGCAGAATATGCTTGCCCGGCTTCATCAAGTCGAACCGCTGACCAAGAACATTTTGCAGGTGGGGATCGCCAGTGGCAGACGCACCGCCGGCTCCACCCGCCATGGGAGCTCCAGAAGGGAACGTCGGGTGCGGCGTCGGCCAGCCAGGAGGATAGGAGGATACGTCGGGCTGGGTGTCGGGCTGGGCGTGGGGAATGCCGTCGGGAAGGCCGTCGGGAAGGGCGTCGGGAAGGGCGTCGGGAAGGGCGTCGGGAAGGGCGTTGGGAAGGCCGTCGGGAAGGGTGTCGGGTAGGGCGACGGGAAGGGCGTCGGGAAGGGCGTCGGGTAGAGCGTCGGGAAAGGCGTCGGGTAGGGCGTCGGGTAGGGCGTGGGGTAGGGCGTGGGGTAGGGCGTCGGGAAGGGCGTCGGGTAGGCCGTCGGGTTGGGCGTGGGGTAGGGCGTCGGATAGGGCGTCGGGTAGGCCGTCGGGTTGGGCGTCGGGTAGGGCGTCGGATACGGGGTCGGAGACATCGTCGACGCCGAGCAAGTGCACCCGCCACACGTCGGGCTGCTTTTGCCGAAGGAGATCTGGAAGAAGGCGTTATTGTGATACAGACCGTCGACAGAATCAACCTCGACTCTGATTGTGTGCGGCCCGGCTGAAAGCGAGAACGTCTGCGAGGGCATGTTGACATCGCACATGATGCAGGTGCTGACCTGGCATGCGCTGCCTCCGTGGCCGTTTGTAGCTTGCACCGTGGTGCGCAGGACGTTGTCAACGTACAACTGAAATTTCTCGAACTGGGCCTCCGCCACGCCGGTCATCGAAAGGGTCAGGTCGATGGGCGAAGCGTCGTTCAAGGTGAGAACTGCGCTCCCGTGTTGCCTGGCATTCGCCACGCCACCGCAGATGGTATCGTCGTGGAAGTCGAAGCGGATGAACGCTGGGGTGCTGGACCAAGAGCCATGCGCGCCATACGAAACGAACGAACCACGAAGACGCGGTATCTCCCAGTGGCGTGCAGCAGCCTTGGCCCACCTGCCCCGCGCTGCACTCCGCCCGCTTCGACTGCGCGGACGTCGCGTTGGCGGCCACATGCTCGCGCCAGCTGCTCGTCGCGAGCTGCATGCAGGACGCGCCTGGTAGCCCGAGGAGCACGAGAGGCCAGACCATCCCGGACGCCGCCATCCAAGCAAATTGGACGAGAGGAAGTTACGTAAGTCCGGTATGACCAAACGGTTGCGTGCGTGTGCAAGATCCAGCCAAAATGGCCACGGAGGTGCCGTCTTGCCCGCCGTGGGCGCCCCTGGCCTCTGGAAAACAGCTCTGGAGGGGAAGACTCGCGGGCCGCTGGGAGAGCTCTGAAGCAGTCATGGATAGACGTTGGACCCTCTTGAGCCGTCTTGGAAGGTTAGTGGGCCGAGCAGGCGAGAAACCAGCAATCTTACAAACACCGGTGGAAAATCAAAGATGTGGCCCTCGCGGGCCCCCCTTGGGGGCCCTCTGCCCAGAGGTCCCCCGGATCGCGATTTTAGATCCCAGGATTCAGGATCTAAAACAAAGGGTTTGGGATCGAATTTTTAGATCCTAGATCCAGGATCTAAAACAGAGGGAACTGCCCCGTTGGAGGACAACCCTTTGAAGATCCTGAAACATGCCAAAGCATTGGTCTCGGGATTTTTTAACGCCACGGATCAACCTGACTGCTGCGTCTTGACGATCCAGAATCGTACCATAACGCCATTCTTGGGACTTCAATACCGCTAATCAACATAACTGTTGCAACAAGCATAATCATGAGTCCTACCAAAACACCAATTCTGGTACGTTGATTATGGCCTTCCGTGAAATCTTTGCCAATGGTTGAAACGAATGTGCGCGGCGCTAGGGCGAGAGCCACATTTTGAAAAGGAGCCGCCCATAATACGTGGAACTCCTTGCAAATGTTCAAAACGAATGTGCGCGGCGCTACGGCGAGAACCACCGTTTGAAAACGACCCGCCCTCAATCGGTGAATATGTTGCAAACTGTTGAAAAGAATGTG